ATCAGCCCGATTCGCTTTGCACAAGAGGCTGTGTAGATTATGGTAAAATTCATCTTTGACTGTATCTGGGTTGCAGTCCGTTTAGGCGTACGGTGACACGACAAACAAGTTTCGTGTATGAAGGTTTTTTCTCCATTGTATGTTGCCAAGTTTCTGTCTCTCACTGTTGTACGATCTCATTATTTATCTTTTTCAGGTTCCGTTCGCTGTTCATGGCTATGGAAGCTACATGTCTTTGAGTGTCTTAGATCGTAATTACCGTCCGAACATGTCTGTGGATGAAGCGGTCTATCTTGTCCGTCAGTGCGTACAGGAAATTCAGAAAAGATTCGTCGTCAATCTGGATCGGTATTGTGTCCGAATGGTGAACAAAGATGGAATCACCGTGCTCCCCGACCTTGTGAATTTCGCCAGTCCGGCTTGAAGCATAAATAGCATTCGTTTCTTATCAAATGCATCGTTTCACTCATCCTGACCATCATAATTTTTTCCGATCGCTACGGCTTAACAGCAATGGGGTAATGAACCTCTACGAAGTCTTCTGCACGGGGATCACGTCAGATCATTGGATTTCTAAATCATTTATCGTACTAGCTGAGGTACCGTGATTCAAGTTAGTTATTTATTTCGGATGAATATTGAAGTTGTTGAAACGATAGTTGGTTTCACAAGGTAGTGTTGACTGCTTTTGAAATTAAGTTTTTTGACTTCTCTCAAGCGCTAGCAATGTTGGTTAATTGTGAACTATTTCGCTGTTCTTGTTCAGTTCCTTTAAAGGTAAATATGAGAGAATATTTCATACGAGTTATATCGAACCTTGAGGAAGGCCACACGATCCAGCGCTCTGATGAGTGTTCATTTGAACACCCAGGGCACGCGTAAGACATTTGACTGACTCACAAATCTCTTGGCGTCTCGATTTAGTTGAGGTTACGTGTATTGCATCGCAATGCGGCCAGTACTACTTCTGAAAGGCGTTTATTTAGTTAGTTGCGCGACCAACGACTGTGGCGCAGCAAACGAGTTAATCGCACACCATTCCAAGGCTCGAGCAGTGTACGCAGGACTGAATCACTTATGGCGACGACGTGACGTTTCACCGAAGTTGAGAAGTCGCGTGTACTGCACCACTGTACGATCCGTTCTACCTTACGGTTGCGAGACATTGAATTTACGAGTAGAAGACACCAGTCGTCTGGGGATTTCCGATAGTCAATATGTACGTATTCTGGCCCAAGTGGGATGGGGTTAGCGGGTTAGTAACCTAGATTTAAATCGTCAGGTGTGCATTGAATGCATTGAATTCAGCTCAATAGGCTCCGCTGGCTCGGACGCGTTTTGCTTGTCTAACGGTCGTCTACCGAGCCGCACCGTGTTTGCCGCTCGAGGGTGATGAGGCATGAAGAAGTGCACAGAGCGATTAGGTAGAGTAGGTATCTCTCGTCTTCCTGTTGGGACCCAAAAGACTCAGTAACTTGGTGGGAGACACTGCAGGTCATGATAGAAAATTGACAGCGTTGTGGATCTCGTTTTCACTTATCAGACCAAAATGCTTGAAGTGTTTATGCTCCATCGGACTGCGTACTCTGTTTACCACATAGATTGGCTTTTTTCCCCGTCCCCTAAATTGGGCCCAATCCTTATCCTGCCTGCACATACTCATTGATCTTGTATGCACTATGAGTTTGACAACGATCATTGAAGTTCATTTCACCGTATTCCGTTGTACGATGATGTTCACGTGGTTTAGCACATGTAGCTATAGACGAATACATTAGCAACATTATATCGAGAGTCTTGCCAGTAGTTTATTCCATTTGTATGGCACCTTTGGATATTAGCTGCGTGCCTAGCAGTCGTCTACTGTACTACTGCTGTTTTACGCTTGATGACTCAGGATCACGCAAGCTACGTAGAAGTCAACAGATAGCATAAAGAACTGACATGATCAAATTCGCTCAAATATTAACCGGATCAATAATCTCTAGTCTTCAGGATAGAAACCAAATATTCTGCAAACGAGTGGTGGGATGGACGGAACGAAGTCATTGTGAATTAACAGCATTAAGGTCCTCGTCAGTTCTTTGTAGATGTGCTACCGTTCAAGCAGGTGCGTATGCGCAGATAATGTGTTCTAAGAAGAGCATACCAGCGTATCTTCGGTGATATATCTACTGTCTAACGTCAAGATTTTCAGCGCAGTTTTCTGTAGGGCGGTTACTATGAAGAATCCACGCTCATATCTCTCTCACCCTACCATATGTAGATGGACCCCGGTTGACAAGGTTTCTCTCTCCACCTCCCCAGCCAGAAACTTGGTTCAGGTATCCTGAAAAAGAGCATTTATATGATGCATTCCGAATAGCGAGTACCATTCAGTCTTTGGAATGTCGCAATGCCCCGTTCCGTTATTAAGACATTTCGATCAGTATCTGGAACTTGTGGAGTGTTGTATCTCTCATTTTGAGGATCAGGGTACCTTGTTTTGGGGCTTCTCAGTTTGTGCTTAGGTGTTTTCTGGGTCAATGATAAAGTAAGATGCCGCTGTTTCTACTAGCCAAGGAGAGTGGCCGTGCAGATGATTGCGCAAAAAATGGCGTCAATAGTGATGGCTAAGGTCACAAAGTAGAGCAACAAAGAGTTATCTTGTGAATGGTGATAGATCCTAATGTTGTGAGATACTACTCACTTGTGAGTTGTAACAAGACCACCGAGGACCAACTGATATGTTTGGAAGAATAACTATCGACTGCTCTTTACATTACCCTGTATGTCGGAAAGAATTGCGATGGCATGTTTCCGATTAGGTTTTTGTTTTATGCATGTCAAATTACTGACCTCCCATCTGTAATCCTCAATAAACGAATATTCTCGACCGGCACCGCCTTTTGGAATTACAACACTAGTAGTATTCACCAGGAATTTACTCCGAAGTGACGCATAATTAATTCACAACTTGGATAGTGATAATGCAGGTAAAAACTTTTCAAGTATTTTTCTGTTAAAAGAATAGTGTACGCTTTAGCCAACTCAGCATAACTGAACATTAGCCAAATCGATCACTGACCATCGCGGCCCGTTGAACGATAAAAACAACATTCGTGGGAATGCGAGCTAATTGGTTGCGCTAATCGCTTGATATTATGAGTTAGCGGTGCATATGTCCAAACAGCGCCCACGGCTTGTTTTGTGAGTGCATCGATGAATGCCTACTTTACTCTCCGTTCAGATTTGAGGAAGATAGACACAGCACAAATCGAATGTGTGGGTCGGAAGCCTCTACTCGATCTAGTAGCAATGGTAATGGAACAGGGATCATTTGCTAGTAACGATACAAGGCTAAACGGTGGGGGCACGGCTGTAAGAGGTGATGCAGGGTATCCAGCTGTCGTGAGCGCTGTGTCGGTGTAGACTGGTCATGTGAGCGCGGGAAGATTATTGGATCTTAGGTGCGAAATGCATTAATCGATTGGTTAGTGGTGCAATCAATCATGCGATGTTTTATCAAGTAACAAGTTGGGTGGTACTGTTGTAAAAAATCCACACTATTGATCAGCTCGGATATGTCGGCCATCGCGATGAACCATGAGAAATCTCAGACAGGTTGAGTGAGACATCATTGTCCATAAGTGATAGTTTTGGTTTTACTAACATCCGAAGGGACATCGTTGTTGACGCCAGATCCCTTCCAGTGATTCAGTGGGATTGCACTAATCTCAACGCTAGCCAATCACGAATATGATTTTGTGTGTACGTCCACTGACCTAAGTGCGGTAACATTGAGGGCTGCATCGGTGTCGAATGGTGACAAAACCAACTATGAATTAATAGATGCCAGTTTATTCACTAAAATCCAAATGATTTCCAGTAGAAGGATCGCAGGAATGATGTGAAACAATGAGGTGGAAGTCTCGTGCCATTATTCTACAAATGCAATGCACCACGGGAAGTGTTCCGAAACTTCTTGGCATCATGATGAACGTCATATCTTGTTATAGTGGAGGTGAGAAACCAGTCATTGGTATCCAATAAAGCTGAAGCTTCCAATGCACCTTCAACAGATCAAGACAGTGGAGTCATAAAAATAGCGAAGAGTCAAAGAAACGCTGATGAGTAACGAATCGAAGCGTTTAACTCTACCTATGCACGATTTGAGCGAAACAGCCACTGATGGTTTGGGAATGGAAATTATAGATTTGGCATGCGCGGAATGTCTCTACTGGTCGAAATAGAACCGGGTTTTGTTCCTGAACATAAACATGCGAAACCTGACACGACCATACACCACTAACTGATAGGCCTGGCAACGTTACTCCACAGGGAACGGGACTAACCACCATGCTTCGTATATAACATCCGCACACGTCACTCAATAATTCCGCTAGATAAATATAATGACTCGTGGACATTGGAGCCTGAATACAGATGGCCTCTTCGCGCATACACATTTGAACCGGTCGAGCGATCGCGACATATTTGCAACCCTGGGTGAATAGAGAAACTTCCTGTCGGCAATAAAAACTCATTAGCAGTCCGAATCCATCGACCCGACCGCGGATCGAACCCGGGACTTCATGCGCAGAACACAAACGTGCTAGCCACTACGCCACCGAGCAGCCGGTCAAATTGTTTTTCATTTTCCATTTACACGATATAGCACAACCCATCTTTGAAAGTTCGTTGCGGGTCGAAACACCTGCCCAGTGCTTCCGAGCTTTTCACTTCACGCTTCATTTGCTATATACACGACGAATTCCCATTTCAAATTTAACCAAATCCTCAATTACTCACATGAAACAAACTCATTAATTGCATCATGCATGAATCACTTGTCAGGTTCCAACCATACACTCCCTTACTGTAGGTAATTACCAACACGAGAGTATAAACCGAATATCTCCAAGAAAGTCTGCAGCTCAGATAGATCTTACCTCAGCGTTTCGCTGTTATCTGCAAATGCGAAATAAAAGATTAATGTGACAAGTTGGATGGAGAATTTTTTACCAGAGAATGAATTATTTGCTATAAAACCTACAGATTACGGTGACATGCATCAGACACATCACCGAATAGGCTTTCACAAAGTACAGTGTTCGTCGAGACGGATAGCGGTTAGATGAAAGCCGGTGTGTGACAGAGCTGGAGGATATGAAAACTTTGAAAAGGAGATTTTGTTAAAAAGTTTAGCTTATACAATCATTAACAATGCACTTTCGTGCGGCGGTCTTAGTTGCAGTCTTTTAGCTGCCCATGTGAACGAAGGAGTAGAGGAAAGTCGAAAGTAGAGTTGAAAAGAAAATGGAGAATTTCAGTCGACCAAGGTTGCAAGGAACTTGGGACGACGAATGAGCGCCACTCTTTACGACACAGCCATATTACGAATTGTCCCTAAACATTGATTACAATGATTCCGATGTCCCCATTCCTGGAGCCGAACGCGACCAATTCGTTTGGGTTTGCTGACTGACGATATCCGGGGTGGCTAAATCAATGCTCAGAGACAGCGAGTGCTGTATATCTACACGTCGTAAACAGTGTCCCTCGTGCGTTTGTTTGCTGTCCACGCCCAAATAACCTACTGTAGCATACTGTCTTTCATTCTGTTTATTGCTCTATGATTTTCCTTTAATTGTACTCTCCTCTTGATCGATGACTCAAATAGGTAGGCACTAGACCAGCAAAACTGGATTCAAGTTTAGGTTTGACGTATATGTACTACAAATGATGTTCAATACATTTCAAATAACTACACACTGTAATTCTCAGAATTTTATTTCAAGTTTTCAGGTGCCCTGTACTCGGTGAATTTCACTGTGCGACCACAATTGTTTTTCTGCAAATAGGACGTTTAAAAGCAGTCAGCATTTCTTCCTTGTTCGCATCACAGATTTTAAATCATAATAACAACAGAATTGGGAAAATAGTATTTGGAGAATCCAGGACCGGATCAAGTTTAATGAACAAAACAATACTGTTTTTGTATACGAAAAGCACAGAAACTGCAGCGTTTACTATCGTATTGGGGAGTTACAACACCCGGGAGCAGAAAGCACCCAATAGCCAAGAAACACGGGAAGGACGGTGGCGGGTATTATTCGATCGTATCATTTGTACAGCTGTGTAATCTAACTGTAGATGGGGAAAGGACCCGTAGAATAACAAACAGGTGTAAACAATAATAACCACAGGGGAAGAAACAAGGTGCCGACTTAGTGATTGTTATCAATGGCTATACACACACACATCACGCTTGGGTATCGTTCATTACCCGCGCGTTGATCTAGGGATAGTGCGTGGGCAAAAAATAACCAGAATTATTAAGCACTGAAAACGAAAATAATATAAAGGAAATACCTCAGAAAACCATCAAAGCAAATCAGAAGCAGAAGTTAATTTACTTGAAAAAAAGAAGTATTCAAGCGTGTGCGCGCGCTCTCAGAACCCAACCAACCATCCCTATCACCACCACCACCATTCATTCGGCGGAACAGGTCCACATTGTGTGTTACTACGTTGATGGCCGATGGTGACCTGGGAGAAGACAATTGTGCTCGTTGGCTTACAGGATAAAAACACATGAAACTCGTCGATGAAAGACACAGTGAGAAAATACAAGGGATCTCAAAGCTGAGAACCGGTAGTGGAAAAAAATATTTGGATGCCATAATGAATTGTCAATGTCGGTACTATGAATGGGACCAAAACATTGGATGATTAACTGGGAGTAGGGAACACTGTCCGGAGTAAGTTGCACCTTGGAATTTTCAGAGACGAACATTGGAAATGTGATAATCAAACCAATTGCTGGAAATAATGGGATGGAAGCTATGCGTGTTTTATTCATCTGGGGTCGATTTGGCACAAATAACAGGCAAAGTGGAATTCGCGAGGAAGAGAATAAAACGACCAAGCGCAGATGTCGACAAAAAATTCATGTTTTTTGATTGCGGTGGTTCCCGCGAATTTCGAGAACAGTGTGCGTGTGTACAAAAGCCGAAAGAAAAAGTCCGGAAGAACTGGCGGATAAATTACTCAGACCTACCTCATTTAGGTGTTAACATGTTCGATTTTCCGAACCCAGCGGTTCCAATCAGCAGTCCGTTTAAGCTCAACTGTGCAGTGGACATCGTTTCGTGATTATTCATGATTATCATAATAATAATAATACGAAAAATACCTTCATTTCAAGAGAGAACTAAAAAATGGTTAAAACAGCATAGGGGAATAGCACGGAACGCTTAACTCATCATGATTCGGCGCAGATTTATTTGTAATACGGTGTCTTGCATGGCATGAAACACAGTTTCAATGTTTCTACGATCTACCGCTGTTGTAAAATGCCGATAAAGCATCCTACGACGCAAGGGAGGAACGTTCGGTTTTGGAGTACTGACTGCCAATGCGGTATTGGCAGACCCCGGAGCGGAAGTACGCCGCATAATACCGGCGATATCGTTTCTGGTTGTTCCGGAAAATGATGGACCGGATAGACTACCACGTCCAGCGATTGCTGGACGAGCAGTGGCGGGTACAGGTGCGGATTCGCTAGCGGATTGATTGACCAAAGATACGAATGCCTCGACCATGAATGTTTGCACGTCCTGTAACCGAAATGGGTCAAAACGGGCGGGGTAGTTGGGGAACTCATCCCGGATGTTTGATTGACCAGCAGCGACCTTCTCTTTAAGAATGTCTGTTTTGTTAAAAAAGATGATGATTGAGACACGGCGAAATGCCACATGGTTGATCAAGCCCTCGAACACGATCATGGCCTCACGCAATTTGTTGCGAAATTCTTTGGTTACCCGATCTTGATAGTGCTCGTCATAGTGACTGGACGCAATCAAAAACAAGACAGAAGTCATATCGGAGAAGCATTGACACCATTTACGACGTTCTTTCGTTTGACCACCCACGTCAATAAACACGAGCGAAGCGTGATGTACGATTATCTCCTCCTCAATGATCGATTCTGTCGGTTTTCGTGACCAGACAATATCTTCGTCAGTAGGAGTGTAGTCCTGTATACAAAAGCAGATAATAAGTGATTAGGACCGAAAGAAAGAGCGGAGAGTGAAATTGAAGAAATATTGTCGTATATGAAAACAACCCATAAATTCGGATTTAGAGCATACCTACTCATGAGTAATAACACGCGAAGCAACAATCACATGAAAATGTCAGTGGTGCAGCTGAACGGAATTCGAGGTAATTTATCGCAAATGACATCTCAACTGCCATGATATAGACTTATCTACCATTGTTGAGGGTTGCTGAATCTTCCTGTGGGCAACTAGGGGCACCTCAATGCCGAGGCAATTTCGACAGTGACGAGCTCTGAACACGATAACTGTCACATATTCGACTGTTACAAAGTACATTTATTCACCACGAAGGTGTGTATCGGTTTGCAGTGCTTTACTCCGACATGAACATTCTGATTCATTATTACGAATGACATAATAAAGTTTATTTAAGAACAAACAGGGAATTTTTCGACGTAATGGACGAAGAGTAGTAGTTGTGGGGTTCCTTCGGTGTTCTTTTGCATCAGGTCGACGGAGAGACCCAAGGATCGTCACATTCGCTTACGCCTACGCGATAATCTCCGACGGGAAAAAAGTTAGTTTCATAGATAGATGGATGATTAAAGCATAGTTTCCTGGTTATCCGGTGAGAATCGGGAGAATGGGATACGGGCCAATGTCATCAGCATTGCTCAGGGCTGTTTTGCCACTCAAGCACCCTGTATGAAACAGATGTGTTAGGAACACCTATCCTATACGCAGAAACTGTAGTCGACAAGCCCGCAACGTTAGTTCACATAAGAGACTATGACGTATTTTGCGGTTCATTCACTCCGTGTGGAGTAGGCAGAACAAAATAATCAGCATGCTCATATATTGTCGCTATGTCATTCATTATGTGACTTCACAACAGTAACATAGGGGTGAGATCCAGTGGCAAGTACGTTGCTCGTCGAGAACTGCGATCGATGGCTACTTATACTATCCAAGGCCGTTCGAAAAATTCTCCCATATATAAAGTAAATATAACCTGCGCTTGGTCAAGGGTCGGGGAAACTTGTAATGTATATGACTTTGGAACAAAGCATCTTCATACGAGGACAGTGGTGTCAATATTTTCCCATGTGGCAGGTTGCCTGATCTGGAATATGCAGACGACATTGCACTGATAGCTGAAGACTTGATACCTTGCAGGTTTTTTTTGTACAGCTGGAACATTGGAGTACCTTTGTTCAGCATGCGATCTGCACCTTCAAAGTGTTAACTACTGTAGCAGAAGTGGACAGGTCCAGCTCTGAGCCTCATACCAACAGGAAAAAAAGAGAGATAGAGGACACTATTTTTCTATTTGGACAACCGCAACTCATCTGGGGGAAAAACTTTGAATAAAGTGTTGGCACGCACACAGGAGGCTTGATTGGTGTTTGCAAACCTGAGATCCACGGGGAGCCACAACACTCGGTTGACTGCGAAGGATTGAGTGTTCTACCAGTTCTCCTGAAAGATACAGAGACGTGGCCACGATGGAAACAAGCCTAGTGGAGACTATCTATGCTCTAATGCTGCTGTCTTCATCGCAGTGCTCGAGTACGGTGGGGTAAACCAGACAAGCAATCCTGAGGTTCGACGTAGAGATTAGACGATCGCGGAAGCCCCCTGGAACAACTGCTGGTTATCATCATCATCACCACCACCACCAAGGTACCTGTGCATACATGCCGCGCGAGATTTCTCCGTTGCTATTTCGATACCAGTATGGTCGCCGATTGCGTACTGTGTGATGTGGTTGAGTACCAGGAACAGTGGCGCCGTCGAACCAATCATTTTCTTTTCAAACTGGGTTTAATTATGTTCATTTTTCTAATTCTGCCCTGAAAGTTATCATCTAAATGGGTAACCAAAATTATGACCTCACAACAAGAAAATTAATTCACGATTAGTTTGTGGGTGGCGTGTCACTAGGTTGTACAGATCAAAGCAGTGAAACTTTCTTAGAGGATACATAAACGGAGCATTTGGCTAACCCAAAAGATAAGAGGACAATGTGTAAAAACTGCAATCGCGTGTGGGACGAAGTCGTTTGTTGGGCCATACACCCTAAGAACGGATCAGAAGTATAAACTGTCCAACACAACTCATTGTCCAAACAAGCCAGAAACAGAAAGAATTAGATGTGGTTCGTATGTTAGTTGGGGATCAGTTTTTTTTTCAACTACCTAGGTGAGCAACCGATGATTACCGAACCCTGTTACAACCCTGACTGCTGACATCATCCATTCACCTTTTGAGAGGAATTAACCTCTACCACAAGAAGGTAGTGAGAAGGCTTTTGAGTTGTGAACGATCAATTCGGGATGTGCGTGACTAGTCACGCACATCCCGAATTGATCGTTCACAACTCAAAAGCCTTCTCACTACCTTCTTGTGGTAGNCTACCACAAGAAGGTAGTGAGAAGGCTTTTGAGTTGTGAACGATCAATTCGGGATGTGCGTGACTAGTCACAATCGAAGACATTCACCGCCGACCAGAATGAGGTTTTCTTACGACGAAAGCCGAAACTCAACGCTGAAAAACAACAGAAGGGTAAAGGGCGAACAATCAATCACCTGTCACCTTTTATAGGAAAATACATTTAAGCACGCTATGAGGTTTCATAACCATCGGCCGTGTGGTAGGACCATCCGTACTGAGTGCTCAGGGAGCCGAGCATTCACCAATTACGGACGGGTGAGGGCAAACACCTCACACATACGTGCTGAATCAAGATGACCCAGTTGTGAATTCCCTATCCATAGCACCTTAAGTTCACGTGATTCACTGATCGATCGGATAGCCGAGGAGACAACTCACCGGTTGTCTAACACCAACCGGTTCGTCGAAATGTGGAGTAGCACCAGATGACGCTTCAGTGTAAAACGGTTGATTGGGCGCAAGAAATGAAACACCAACACGCGACTCTACGCTAAGATTTGAGTAAATGCCGATCTAGTGCAGAACGTGTGCTGACTAGCCATTACTCGGGATAGTCTTCGGCTGGATGCTTTCCCTTTCACGAAACTGACTGAAAAATTGCCGATTCTCAGATGAAGAATTCAGAAAACGCAACAATGCGCCGTTCAGGAGAAAGAAATTTGATGTGTAAATGGTAGCCGTGATGTCAAAAGATGTGAATGAAGTTTCTTCACGGAGGAGTTGTGGCTACTGGGATAGGACATATCCGTTAAACAAAGGACGGAAGCCTCAACTGAGGTACATACACATGATAGCTGGTGAACTTCATGGAACATGGTTCAAAGCACATCCAAAAGTGTGGAGACAATAACCCTGATCAGTTATGGTGACATTCAAAAGTTTTCGGAAGACAATTTATTAGATATGCTAAGGCAAGTATTATTGAACTAAAAAGATTCAAACTTCAAACCAACTGTTCCCTGCATGAGCTGTACGGGACCCGAGGATATAATTGAAGCCGGCTATCGGCAAGTAAATAAGCCTTCCATATGACCATCAAAATGTGCTTAAGACAATAACTAATCGCATGCCGGAAAATAACAACTGCACACATACACACACGTAAATAAACGAAAACGCGCACACATGGACATACGCATGTAAGGTGTATCACAGGACAGTCATTATAACGCACACCTACCCAGAAATCTGCGTAAGTGATTGGATGGATTGAACGGGATTGACAGATCGATAGCGGTCTGGGTAAACGGGTATCACAAATCTACCTCTCTATCTCTCGCTCTCCGTGAGTGTTTCAAATGAACCACATGTAAAAACCATCTCATGACAATATCACATACGGACTAGCTGAGATCAAGCTAAATGCATGTGTGAACCGCAATGGGAGAAAGTATGTAAATTTCGGTCTGTCAAATGGTTAGTGTCATGTAGCGCATAACCTGTGGACCTAAAGTGAAACGCCAAGGGAAAAACATGTGCCCTTGCTCAGGTCTAGGTGAGTGTGACACAACGTCGTTGACATGTTATACGAGTGTATATGTATGTGCCATGTTTGGACAACTAAAATGTTCAACTACCAATGAGGTCCGATTACGTTATATATATATATATATATATATATATATATATACATATGATTCCTTGCACAACGGATAAACAAATGGATACAATGTGGAAGCAGACAAATACAGCCCGGGTGCGTCTATGCATGCATCCTGGTGTGCTCGGTTTTAATGGAACCAACTATGCGAACCTATCTGATCGCTTAAATACCGGAACAAGTCAACACAGATTGTCGTTCTCTGACAGTGGTTAGATTATGGGCAACTTGTGACCAAGTCGCGTACCTTTACTCCCACAGACTTCGTATTATCACCACTTCTGTGTGCAACACATAAACCAATTTCGGTAATCGAGTCAAAAACCTGAACGCGACATCACTGTTGCACTGCTTTTGTAAAAAGGAAACTATGGCCGAAAGTGTAAAACAACACCTCTCATCCCCGAAAAGTACTGTAGCTTCCACTGCATCGCGAGTTTTGATTGGTTTAATTTTCGGGCTGCATGAGGGTCACGTCCCCGTTTAAATACTACAAAACAGTAACAAGCTTGCTATGTGGCCGGTTGTACGAAGAAATCCGGATAATATCTGACATTTGCTGGAGATTAGATTTTCCTCATGATCTATCTGAATTCATATTGTTAATCCAGTAACAGTGCATTATGAAGTTTATCATACAGATTGTGATACATAGTACCGTTCCATGCGAGAGCTTTCAGCCGTGGCTTTCATTTCGTTCGCAAATTATTGTGCTCGTCGGCCTTTGTGCTATAACGCAAATTGATGTTAGCGCCTACCAGTACATCTTCAGTGCAAGGGTATTGCAAAACCCATCTGTCGCAACCACAAGTTTTCCGATTAAATCGGTCGTCACTTGGTTCCCTCCAAACGACAGAATCCGTTTAAAACATCTCCGCGAATGGATGCAGTCGATGCATAAATCAAGCCTCCAGTTGTGAGTTGCGAACGGCATGCCCGTTTCAAAATCTTGAGTGTTTCTAATGATAACATGGGGGAGACGAGTTAGTGGGCATACAACTGTTTTCGGTTATTGCTATTTTGTGAAGACAATATTTATCAGA